TTTATATATTTTAAAAATGCTTTGACTTCAAAATTTAAGTCTAAGGAAAGGTTACCACCGGGGAAAGGGATTTCTAAGTTTGTGTCCTCAGAAAATGAAAAGCTGTGATTCCTTCCAGACTAATGTGGTTTGATCAAGCCATACCCCATGAAACAGCGACCCAGGTGGTCCAACATTCAAAAGAGCTGGGACAAGTCAGCCTTGCAGACTATAGCCAGGATTTCTGTCTTCTTCGATTCCCTCATGACAGCGCCCCCTATCAGCAGGAAGCAGTTTAGAAAAAACGATGCCCAAATTCCCAAATATTGTTTATAAATGTTTGTTTTCATTTATATGGGGTTGGTTATAAATGGTTAATGAACACAACAAATTATTTTTAAAGGTAAAAAAGGTATTATGGTACAGAAATGAATGCTTTGAAATGGATTTTCTTTTACGATACAAATTTAAGGTCAATTTTGTGATATGTATATTTGTCCTCTTGTTTAGTTATTATGCTTATATAGGTCATTTATAAATATAATGTATAATTTAACACAGATTACAGATAGTTACCTATAATAGTCAAAACTTTAAATTAGTTAAGATTTCTAGATATACAGAGATGCATTTGAGATGGATAAGCATTCTTCAAACCTTTCAAAGACCTACAGAATATGGCATTTAAAATGTTTTAGGGGTTTTCTTAACAGTGAGGCACAACTGCTCCTGGCAACACCAACTACATCATAAAGGAAGATGGATCTTGAAGAAATGTGTTATGGATTTTGCTTCCAATATGGCATGAGTAGCCATTTGGATAAGATACTGCTCTTGTCTGGACTGTTTGACTTTAAGCTGTATAAACTGGACATGCAGGACTACAGAAAAATGAAGGCTGATGCAAGATGGACATTGCTACTGGTTTCCTGCTTCAAGGAAGAGTCTTCCAGACATTCTGCAGGACATAGAGAAAACTGACTAACAAACTGGCAATACAGATGGAGTTCAAACTTTCCTGCTTTTCTGAAGAGTCTGCCAGATGCACTATGGCCTATGGGCTGAAGATGGAAGATTACAGAAGAACTTCCAGTGACTGACCAGGAAGTGAGTTGTCTCTGTCATTTCTAGAACTTATATATTATCCTTCTGTGGTCTTTGAAGGAGTTGAAGACAAATAATTGGGTTATAGTTCTCCTTAGTTAGGATCAAAGATAAGTTACATATAAGACTCAAAGATAGGATAGATGATGGAATATTTTCTTTAAATCTTGCTAAATGTTAATGGACTAAACATTGTTACCTGTGGTTCTTATTTGATAACTGTTGTGTGATATATTTTGTTATGCTAAGGTTAAAACCTTTCTTTTTATTTTAGATAGAAAAGAGGAGATGAAGGGAGATGTCATTCTGTAAATATCTTTTTTCTATTGGTTAATGAATAAGGCACTGTTGGCCAATAGGAAAACAAGATAGGCAGGACTAGTAGAGAAGGAGGAGAGAGGAAGTAGTAAGGAGGAGTCAGCATTTAGAGACTGGAGAGAGCAGAACGCCAGCCCCACTCTCTGGTAAGATGAGACCATTTGGAAACACTTAGATTAATAGAAATGGGTTAATCATTGAGACAGAGCTAGCCAATCACAAACTAGTAACGGGACAACAGACTTATATCTAATACAGAGTATCTGTGTGTTAATTGGGGCTGGCACCATGGTGGGTCCAGGCCTGCAGGGAAAACCTTAATCATAACAGGATTACACTTAGCTATTTATTAAAATATTTCCTTGAATTAAGGCCATAAGTATTTTCTCTTATTTTTATAAAAGAATTACAATCAGGTTTTATGTTTATGCTTATAATCTTGAGTAAATCTTATATATTGTAAGCTTTATGCATTGCATTACATGACTTCTTCAGTAATTATCTTCTTTTCATCTTACTTTACTTAATATATATATATATATGGAGGCATTTTGTTTAATTATATGGAAGTGTCAAGATTAATTGCCTTAGCTTTTTACTAAATCTAAATTTTTTAAAAAAATTTTTGGATTGCCTAGGTTCACTGAATCTTCATAATAATAGATTTCAATTAAAATGTTTATGGACTGTTGAACATAATTAAAATTGAAGTTGTTATAAATTTAGGGTCAAAGAAACATTAAAGCATTTGTTTTTAAGCCCAAAACTCTAGCTCTTTGGTTAATATTATAAGTGGAAATTCCTGAAGCTTATCACTCATGAGATAATTCACCAGACATCACTTAGGGTTGTTTATAATTTATTATTATAAAATTATTTATTCTTACAAAATAATATAAAGCACACTAAGGAAGACATAAATGGCCATCAGACGAATTTAGAGAAAATGAGGCACATGCTCCCTTAGGCCCTCATCTAGTGCAAGCCCATGGGACTAAGTGTAGTTATTTGTGATGAAATGTGTAAACCCTTGCTAGGCAGGGAGGCTCATTACTGATTCAGTAACTCGAAGTTTATACTGGAGGCTGGTTGCCTAGGCAACGGCAACCTCTAATGAAAATGTAGGAGTGTTCTAGACACTAAGAAGGAAATGGGTATTGGGACTAAGTGTGAAAAGTTCAGCAGTTCCTGTCAGTGAGTGGCAAGAATCCTTCTGACTCAAATTTCTTAGACTGCCACTAAGAATAATCCTGGAAAGTAGTTTTCACAGATAGCAGGCCAAGCCTGCTCTATTAATAGTTTGTGTGCAAAATCTACTGAGAGAATATAAAATTGAAGATATTTATCTCCCTGATGATTCAAATCAGATAATCTGAGTTATGCTATAAAAAATACCATCAACATTTATTAAGTTTCACATGTATGCTTAGAAAATGTTGTCATTCTCTTGCTGACTTTATTAAATAATTTAGAAAAAATTAAACAATGATTGTTTTTTAAAAGCTGTATATAACTAAAAAGTTTGACTTATACTTAGTTATTAGTAATAATTTTAGATTTCAAGATGTTTATAGTGTTTTCTTAATTTTATGCTTATTTTATTAATACAGTTATATATAGTTTATGAATTATCATATATCCATATAAATTCATTTGTTTTATTTAATCCTTTTTAATAATATTTGTTAAGCTAGTGATTTCAGGTCTGTCATGTGTTTTATAGTATCCAGATAGCTTGATTCATGTATTACTTGTAACAGCTATGTTCAGAGATCAGGAATGGATACAAGTAGACAAATAATTGGATTTTCTCTTCACTTTAGGGTCTGACAATAAGAACTTTGAATTTCTTCCACATATTATATGAGTTGTAGTCTGTCCAGAAAAATGTGAATACAAATACCTCTTACAAACTTGTGGCCTCAGACTCTCGATCCTCCTGCCTCTGCTTCCATCCCTAAGCACTGGGATTACAGGTGTGAGCTCTCATACCTGGCCTATATTTCTATAGAGAGCAAAGCAAAACAAAACAAAACAAAACAAAAAAAAAACAAAACAAACAAAAACAAAACAAAAACCCTGAAAGGCTACACCAAAACCCTGACAACAAACATTTTGGGTAGCAAGAATTTGAGTGTTCCTCGTCACTTGCTGTCTTGCTTTATTTTTTAAAGTTTTTTCTTGATGGGGTGTTGAGATAGGGTCTGATATGTAACCCCAGCTGGCCTCTTGCCGCAGCCAACTCCACGTGACATCAAGGCTTATGCTACCACTACCATCTTGACATCATTTTTCAAAAACTATTAAATCCATACACTATTTTATAAGGTTCTCACTTTAAAACTCTATCTCAATATCTACTTAGAATTTTTTTGAGAATATATAAAATAGATCAATATCACCATAATAGTGATCAAATGTGCTTCCTTTATCTGCTCAATAGACTCTAGGTTTATATCTGCTTTAAAAAGTGCTCTGCATTCAAAAAAGAGAGGTAACAGAACTGACACTATCAGCAAAATGTGTTTCCCGTTTTACAATGATAAAACACAGGGGTGTCATAATTTTTATGTCATTTTATATTTCAATGTATGATTTTAAAAAAGATTTTTCATGTATAACAATATTCGGTTCTCAAGGCTATGAAAAAGGTAGGGAGGTATGACCCTCACTTTAAAGAGAAGGTGCTTGAATTAGAAGAGGTAGAGGGGTATGTCCAGGGTCTCACACTATTAAATGATAGTGTTAGCCTGTTCAGTCCAATATGGCAGCCACTAACCACACTGAACTATGTAAGTTAAAATTCCTTAGAAATCAGTGTGTTCTCTAATTGCACCAATCACATTTCAAGGACTCAGTAACCACATGTGGCCAATGGTGAATACTCTGGGTAGTCTAGACAAAAGTTTCCATCATAACAGAAGCAGTGTGATTCCCACTCCAGTAGCATTTTCTGCTCATGTGGTGGGTTTCCACACCCTTGCATTGCCTTCCTCAAAGCAAGGAAAATATTATATGGTCAACTTATTCCACACACATGGCTTCTGAAATACTTCAGGGGAAACTACTTTGTGTGGCTTTCATCTTAGCCTTTGAAAGGGCAAATTGCAGAATACAGCATCTAACGTACAAGTATCATCCTGGGGAATACCCTAAAGTGGGTGTATCATGAGCTCACACAAGTCTATCCACCATATAGGTGTACGTGCTGAGTACTACAGCAAACAGTCTAATCAAAGCATATCAGGCTTACTAATGGATTATCCATAGCTGAGTATCCATGCTTCCTGATAGATGGATAAAAATTTGTGCTTGGTGTGTTGGAATCCGACCATGTGAAACACAAGTTAGTATTTCAGTAATAAATAGTACCATATAAAACTATCTGTTTTATATATTAAACCTATCAAAAAAAAAGTTGAGTTGCTTATGTACAATTGCACATATCAACTCCCAGTAACTGTGTTATCGGCATAAGACCTATGTGTTACAAGGACAGCTAAAACTTCCAAAATAAATGAGGGAAAGGCTCAGATTATTTACTACATTAACCATGTGCTAAACACAGCATTTCATAGTGTTCTTCATTTGTACTTCAGGTTGCTTGGAACTGAAAGAAGACACTATTGAAAACCTTCTTGCAGCCGCGTGCCTTCTTCAGCTTCCTCAAGTAGTAGAAGTATGTTGTCACTTCCTCATGAAACTTCTGCATCCATCAAACTGTTTAGGAATCCGAGCATTTGCAGATGCTCAAGGATGCATTGAATTAATGAAAGTGGCCCATAGCTACACCATGGTAAGGAGATTTCATAGTTAAAAGGTGGAGTATTAAGCTATAATATCAAATGCTACAATTATGATGGCCTTTAACAATGGTTTAAATATTAAGGTATTTATATGATTGCTACATTTTCATTATTGAGTATTATGACATATAATATTTTATAATCTCAAGGTACATAATAATATTGCTCTTACTTTAATTGTATGACATTATATACTTTATAGACAATATTGATATGATTGTTGACTTTATGGTAAGAAAAATATTTTAATTTTTAAAAATTTTAGAATTATATTCCTGTTTTCTCAGTATTTTTCTATTCATTTCTATAAATGCCACCTTTATCATTTTTTCTATTTCTCTTTTAATAAATCAATCATTTTATATATATATATATGTGTGTGTGTGTGTGTGTGTATTTCTACTCTGTGTTATTTGTGAATATTAATCTTACAGATATATTTGACAGTTTTTAACACTTATTTGTGTCATGTATATTAATTCATTGATAATTTTTCTTCAAGACAAAATATTTATAAACAGACACATTTAGTATGTTCTTCATGAATTTAATTTTCTGTAATATTTTTATAATTCAAAGATTTAAATAGCATGTATAACAGCAATCAACAAATATTCTTGGAATCATTCAAGGGTATTATGTTGTTTTGGGACAATTCTCACAATACAGAGATCCTTTTATCAGAATTATAGGGATTGTAAAAGTCCTTTATATTGTTTTCCTTATTTTTAAACATTTAAAATATTTCTGTTTGGTCTGTGTGTGTGTGTGTGTGTGTGTGTGTGTGTGTGTGTGTGTGTGTGTGTGCACAATTGATTACCTAGTTTTGGCAGAGGTCAAATGTCATTAGACATCTTGGAATGGTAACTGTAGATGATTGTGAGCTTCTATAAAGTGGCTGGAAACCAAGCCTCCTAACAATTCTCCTAACCACGTATACTTCTCTATGTCCATGAGTTATATACTTTAAGTGTGACACTTTTTTTTGATGATTTTTTTTCATATTACTTCCCAATGCATATGTGGCTCATTTCTTAGACATAATTGTTATGATATACAAACCATCAATAAAAATCTGTCATATTACTTAGTGATATATTTTATTTTAGTACGTTTTAATGTTTAGACACAAGTAAATAAAATGTTATAGATTATTTCATTATCAAAGCAGTAGAAAATTATTTATAGTTAATAAAATAAGATTTCTTGCTACATATTACAAAGCTAAAAGGAAAAATCATTTTCAAGTCACTAATGAAAATCAACAATTATTATATATTTTTAAATTTTAGAATTTCCATATTGTCTAATCTTTATAATATAAAATTTTATGCAAATTGTAAATTATATAAAAACTAACATATCAGGAGAAGCCTGATATATTATTTTGTTTTTGAGTTCTTTGGAAACATTCCATGATAGGGCACATCGCTATATTTGAAATGATATGAACCATGCAAAATCAGTGTAAACAAGTACTTTATCAACCACAATATCCAAGTCCAACAGCTGTTATTTATTTGGGCATGTTTCATTACAATTTAGAGCTCCTGGCTTACCTTAGTCAAAGAACAATATGCTGCCATATCAAGAGAGATAATGGTCCCTTCTGGTCTGGTTTGAAGTTATTAATCCGGTAATAAAAATTGTTTCCCATGCAGCTGTCTGGGATGTCACTAGTTTATTTGAGAAAGTAACATTATTTTCATATCATTTAAATCTATAAAATCTGTGAATGCTTTTGTAAAACAATTAAAGGTTTCTAGGTATGATATTTTGTACTCTGATGCCTCATTGAAAGTTTATCTTTTAAACTGTGAATAGATTATGTGTTGTGCCAAATCTCTTTTAATTTAATTTCCAAAAATTTAGAAATGTGAAGCTACTCTCCAATTGTTCAAAGTTAATATTTAAGAAAAGAAAAATTGTTAGCCACTTCATTTTCATAATCTTTTCCCGTTGGATCCAATAATTGAAAATTAGTGGTTTATATGTGGTGTTATAATATCTCATTAAAAATTTGTCCCTTATCCCTGCCTATACTACTTATTTTTCTTCTTTTCCTTTTTATAAACATATTTCAGCCACACCCTGCCAAATTTCATGCTCTATCTAAATTATAATTAATGTACACACTCTCAAAATTTGTAATGGATTTATTTAAAACCTATAGTCTAGTATTTATTTATTTCATAAAATTCTTTTAGAGATGAAGTTTCCAACTCATACTTTAACATTACACTTTAATTTTTTGCAATGCATTTACCTTCCTTCTTTTCCTTAAAAGATGTTACTCATTTATTTTTGGACAGTCATTGATCATGTATAAATGATGTTAAATTTTTCCTATGGAAAGTGGCCCACCTTGACATGTGATTCATGCATAGAGCAGTAGAAAAGTTTGGCTACAAGTTCACCATTAGGCAGCAGTGTGAAACAGATTTTCCCATATTAATCTAATCTTTGTCCTATGAATGTAGAGACAGCAACAAAATTATTGAACCAAAGACTCACTGAATACCCTCCTAGGTTTCTTTATTAAACATTAGGTAATTATGTATGTTACATTTTAAATTTGGTAAAGTGCACTGTGACAAAAATCATTTGAACCACAGGAATGGAAATATTTTCATGTAATCTGAATATGCATGAAAACCTAAAATATAATATCAACAAACATGATTTCTCTTTGTTGAATAAAATAGGCCATGATGATGGAAAGGACTTGTATCAGAAGCAATAGGGTTTGTGTTTTTCATTCTTCATTTTAATTTAAGTAGTAAGGTAATTTTTCATATTAAATGGTATATGAAATATAATTTAGGTACTAGAGTGACAGCAAAGCAGTTAATAGCTCTTATCAATCACAGTTTGGTACACTGCTCCCACATATGATGGTTCACACCTGCTTATTACTTTATTGGAGAGCATTTTATGCCCGCCTGTCCTCTATGGTCTCCTGAACACAAGTGCACTTTCAAACAGCATTCACACCTACAATACAAAAAAGATCATTAAACATACATATGCATAATTTAGAATGGAGTTTCAGTAGCCAAAGTTAAATGGGATTTTTAAAACATGTTTAGTGTTTTATTCTCTCACTAATAGAATGTCTCTCTACACTCATAAGTCCTACCTGATGTCAAGGTTAATTCTGACTTCTGCAGATGTTAAAAATGTCCCATCGCAAGATTCCTTTCTCCAAATGGTACACAGTATCTTTTGTCAGGAAAACTCATTTGTGAAAGAAAAGGACAAGTGTTATTATGCCACAAAGGTGGTTGAAAGAATATATTTAGGGAAAATGAAAAGATAAGATATATTTTAACCCAGTATTGAATCACATAGGCAATGGAAATTATATTTGTAGGAAAAATGACATGTTAACTTCCAAGTGAGTCATTAAAATCTGTTTCTCTCATATTATAATATTATAAACAATCAAGGCATCTGTCAGAAGGTTCTTGCAGACATCAGTGTCTGTGCATAGTGTTTCTTAGAACAATCTAAAATGCACTGAGGTTTGAAATCATTAGTTTAAATCTCCCTGCCCTTTCCTAGACTTCTCAATGGCTATTCAAGACTCCAGTTACCTACCCATTCTCAGCTCTTTCAACTGTATAGTGTGAGCTCTTTCTTTTCCTAATCCAGTAATATATGGTTCAATCTCTTCAAGGTATAAGCTCAAAGTTCTTATACTTTTTAAAATATGATATCCCGCATTTAACTTTGGTAGTGCTGTGTTGGCATTGCTTTCAAAAGTAAAGGAATTTATGGCCGGGCAATGGTAATACATGCTTTTAATCCTAGCATACAGGAAGCAGAGGCAAGGGGATCTCTGAGCTCGAGGACAGCCTACAAAGCTAAACCAAGAAACCCAGACTCAAAAAATCTAAGCAAATAAACAAAGAAACAAACAAAAAAGAAATAAGCCATCTAAAACTTGCTTTGTTACATGCACTAATACATTCCACAGATACTTACCTTGGCAAAATTCCTATAATTCAATTTTTAGTTTTAGTTCATTTCTATTCAAACAAAATAAATACCATTATAATTTTATGATAGTTTCTCTTCCTTTTGATTTTTTTTGTGTGTGTGTGTGTGTGTGTGTGTGTGTGTGTGTGTGTTCGTTTCTTTCATAGGAACACTTTTAGTATAAGCATCCCAGCAGTGATCACTTTAAGGCCTAAGGACTCACCCATGCTAGCTAAATGCTCTCTCTCTCATCTCAGGCTACTCATTTTCTAGACATGGTCTTCTTGGGTTTGTTCTCAAACCCCTGATACTTCTACTGTTGTCTCCAAATGGCTAGAATTATAGGTGTGTTTCTAGCTATTCTGTGTCATGTTTTATGATTGAGCTTCTTAATACATTCCATACACTCTAATGGATATAAATGCCACATCGTTTTTTATTTATTTATTTTTATTTCTTTAGACAGTGTCTATCTTGAATATTATAATAAGTTAGATTATTAGCTGGGGTCATCCTTGTGGATTCCTGAGGATTTCCCTAGTGTTAGGTTTCCTACTAACCCCGTGATGGCTTCCTTTATCAAGATAATTTTATTTGCCCTCTCTGTCCTTGCCCCAACTTAACCTTCCAGATCCCTCATATTCACCTCCCTACTCTCCTACCATGCTTCTGCCCTCCATCCGTGCTCCCAATTTACTCAGGAGTTCCTGTCTATTAAAATAAGAGACAGTGGTGGATGTCATAAATCACCCAGCCTATTATTCAATGACAGTACATGTGGATGCCTTTGAGGTGCTTTGTTACTGCATTTCTGTGTTCCTTTTTCAGTTCCAGTCATGTCAGCTTTCTTATTTCCAGGTTTCTTCTTAATATACATAACATTACAGGAGAAGCTTTGTGTTGTGTGTTGCTTTCTTCCTCCAGAAAAATCCCCTACCAAATATTAATATTACCTTTTCCTCTGAGTCATTAAGATCATTTCTTGATGGTTTTCCTCACAGATATGTCT